TGCCATGTAGGCAGCCGCTTTGATGGCGCCTACGGTGTAGATTCGAAACCGGAAAGGAAGTACCCCGACTTCAGCGCAGGCTGTGTCGGCCGGCGTCGAGGGCAGGAGACCTGAGACTACCCGATGTAGCCATTGTAAACGGGTGCAAGGACTTGCAACAGTTTGTCCTTGGCCATTGCGGTGAGCACCAGACCGTTGAGTAGACGGCTGTCAATAACTGTCTTGGCTACATGCAGCTGGATAGCTCGGTTGTTGGTGCGGTGTGGCATGGAGATTGTTTTGATAAGGTTTATGCGGGTCTTGCAACTATCCTTAACGCTCTGGAAGTGTTGCGTGAAGGTTAAGTGTCGATCAACTAGAACGCCCTAGATGCGTATCGTTTTTTTTTTCAGGGGTATCGGTTGATCCCCGATCTTGATAGAGGCGCCGGCGACTCGGTGACCGGAAGCGCAGATGCTCTTGCAGCTGAGAGTTGGAACCTAGCTGAGGCCACCCATTTGGCAACTGCCGATACAGCTGCTTGTGCTTGGATGCGGGTCCTTGCGATGGTGCGGCCGGTGGCCACAATTAGCACGTCATCCGCGTAGACGAGAATGTGGATGTTAAGTGGAAAACGAATAAAAAATCCGGTTCATCGCTATTAGGAAAATTGTCACCGCGATAACGGAGCCTTGCGGCACCCCTGTTTCTTCCGGGAAAGAAGAAGACTTGGTGCTCCTCACGGCGACTTTAAACGATCGTCTTGCCAGAAAGCCTCGGATAAAGGAAAGGATATTTCCCTTGAATCCCCAGGTGATGAGCTCTTGAAGTACTAACGGTGTCCATGTTCTATTGAAGGCCTTGGATATATCCAAGGAGACGATCTCCACGTGGTGGCCCTTTTCCTGCGTGTCATTTAGCAGTTCTCCCAGCGAAGCGAAATACGTGGAGGTTCCCTTTCCTGCCCGACAGGCGTGCTGCCGGTGGTCAAGGTATCCATTTTCCTCCAATGCAGTGCGACGTCGACGATTGACCATGCACCTTGCTTGCGCAACTGGTTAACGCAATCGGACGGCATTTATCGGTACCTCGTGTGGTGGCGTTGGCCTTTGGGATCAAGATCACCAAACTTTCTCGCCAAGTGGCCAGAAAGTCACCAGTACGCAACACCTCGTTGTAAATGTCCAATAAGTTGTCCTTTCCGCCGATAGGAAGATTTTTTAGAAGGGGATAACCTATTTCGTCTGGGCCGGCCGAGTTGCCGGTGCTGTATCGCAATGCAAACTGCAGCTCCTCGAAGGAAAAGTCTTGGTTAATTGGAGAGTTGATGCTGTCTTGTGGAATTTGGAAATTGGTGATATCGACAGTAGATGGTCTTGTTTTGCGGAGAAAGGTGGGCTCATATCGGTTGATAGCGGAAAGCTTGGTAAAATAGGTGCCGAGCTCCTCAGCTACAGAATCAGGCTCGGTGATGTTTGTTCCGCCAGTCTCGATTGAGAGCGGTGTGGTGCACTTTTTCCCGCTAAGGGAATTAACTTTTCCTCACAGGTCCACGGACGACTGGGAAGCATTTATGCTCTCCAGAAAGTCAGTCCAACTATTTCGTTTGGCATCCCGGAAGGTTTGCCTGCATTGGTTGCGCCGTTCTCTGTATGTTTGTAGGGCTAATTCCTTTAGCGGGTGGTTAACTGGGAGGCGCTTGACACGCCGAAGTGCCTTTCGTCTAGCTTTTTACTTCCTCTTCAGACCACCAGCGAAGAGTTTTTTGCCTGGGAGTTGGGCCAGTCCGGGGAATGGCTAGTCATGCCGCATCTAGGATCATGCTCGTGAATTCTGGGAAATCGGCAGGATTCTTTTGTTCTAATAGAGTATTGCCGTAAATCTCATAGGCCACCGTCTGCTTGGTCGTATCGCCATCTCGGACGCCGCATCGTTACAGGTGTCGACCCCGCGCAGAGCTGGATAAGTATTGGATGGTGGTCACTGCCGTGAAAGTCCGAGATTACGGTCCAGGTAGTCCAGGTAGTAGTCTTGCAATGGAGCGGCTGATACCAGCCACGTCAATGGCCGAGGACTGCCTGTCGTTGAAAAAGGTAGAAGAACCGTCGTTAAGAACTATCATGTCCTTTTGGTCGAAGGTGTCTGCCAGCGCTGTGCCTCTTGAATCGGTGCGTGTATCGCCCCAGTTGGGGTGGTGGGCGTTAAGGTCCCCTACTAAGAGCCTAGGTTCAGGTAGGTTACATAATATTTCCGAGATTTGTTCATTGATGTTTGGGATTCTGCCGCACGGAAGATATGCCGAAACTACCGTGATCCTACTAAGGGGTAGGTCGGTATCCAGGTCGATGAAGCGGGAAGGGATGCTTCTTAGAACGCCGATATCGGAAGATAGCCAAATGTTATTGCCCCGTTTAATGGTCCACTGGTCCACTGGAGGGTTCGATCCATTTGTTCAGTGGTTACCCTATTGATCTCCTGGAGAGCAATAATCCATGGAGGATCATTTTGGGTCAGCATTTTCAGGTCACCGAGATTGTTGAAAAAGCCGTTCACATTCCATTGGAGAAGGAACGGAACTGGCTTAGGCAAAGTCGGAGCGGAGTTAGTGGTTGCTGGATCCGATAAAGTGGCCCGGATCGATATGGATTCATTAGATAGTGAGGATTGACTTACGTTGATAGCGATGCTCGAATAAGACAGGCCCCACCGTCTAAAGTTCTGAAATTTTCTAGAAGTTTACTGAACTTTCATGTCGGGTTTTGTCTTAATTTCTCAAAATTATCCTGATGGCTAGTTTTGGAGTTTGCAAAATTTGTCCACTAGTGAGCTGACCTTTTCTGAAGTTTGCTGAATATTCCTGAAAGCATCGACGTGGGTCTTCTAACCGAAACCCACCTAAATTTCGGCGACAGTTTCTGGTTGTCTGACCACAACATTATCTGGCTTTATCGCACCAGCTCCAGGGGGTGGGGCGTTTAGTGGTCATCGTTCGTAAGGGAATCAAGTTCTGCACTCTGCTCCACATCCGCACTTCTATCATCGAGGCCCTCAGTGTGAAGGTGGAATCACCAACTGGAAACGTCCGGTTTATCGCTGTTTACTGCCCACGCCAGTGTAGCGCAAGCAACGGACTAGGAATCCAAAAAATGACCTGACCGCCATCACCGGTACTAGCTCTTGATTCATCGTTGTGGGCGAGCCGAACACCCGCCATGAAGCTTGGCGGAACTACCAGCGCAACCGGAACGGATGTCTTTTGTTCGACCACGCACAACATGGACTGTACACTGTGCGGTTTCCTGACAAACCAACTTTCATCTCTCGGAAGGGCACAACGATCTCAGCTCTGACCACCAACCGGTGGTGACTGAAGTCGGTGTCAACGTGGTTCCTGCTAGAAGCTGCTTGCGTGTCTTTACCACCATGTCAACTGGGTGCAGTACGGATGAATGGTGGACAGCAACATCGTAGAAAATCTACGCCTAAACGCGGTATTGAATAAAGTTATTTATCCTTGATTTTGTGGATTGCAAATAAACCACGCGGCTGTTCATAAACTACGTAGACAATTTAGGGGGGGTGGCAATCATCCATGCCTCAAACAAAAAAAAAATATGGAAGATTGTCCCCGCGGGGGGGTGTGTTCAAGAATCATAAAAAACTGTCTACGTAACGGGTGTTCAATAAAAAATGAGAATGATTTCAGTGCCGTCCAGCGCTCTTGTGAGAACATCGCGACTAAGTTGCGTCGTACGGCTGACCAGGGCCCCTATTCCAATATTCATTGACGTTTTTTTGAAGAATAAACATTATGTTTTTAATAAAAAAAAAAACTAAATTCGTTGATTTTTTTTTACTAGCTATATGACTGAAAAAAATCTCATTTTTTATTGAACACCCGTTAGTTAATGAACAGCCCCAAATTAGTTTGTAAAATTATACTTACACCGATAATTATAGCCCGTGATTCGATTCCCAGATAAAACAATGATCATGGTTTGTTTCACTGCTAGATCGTATTTTTCACGAGTGTCTGTGTGCAATACTTTCGATAAATCAATCTAAATGGCAAACAAAGGGAAGAGATACATTTCATAAGATGTGAAAATTCTGGATTCAAATTCTGCTTCAGATATTCCAAGCAAGATTTAAAGGGGTAAAATAGACTCAAAAATCAATTCCTAAACAGCTCCTCTTCCTTGCCTCTACTGCTGGCGTTGCTTGGGATTAGAAAAGTAGGAAATGAATTTAGATGAACTAAAATGCCAGAAATGCAACGCGTGATACTAACGACATTTATCAATATTGTGCAATAGATTCCTATTCGTCTCTCAGGCTATCACAATATTTGTAGCGCATTGTTGATTTGTCTAGTAGTATTAGGGTTAAATAAGTCTTGATACTATAAGGAAACCTAAGCGTGAAACTTCAAAGGCACAAATGTCAGCTTCCACTCAACATACAAATTTGAAATTGCTACTCTCTGTTTATAATAGCACAGCAAACAAGGAGTAGCAATTTCAAATTTGTATGTTTTGTGGAAGCTGACATTTGTGCCTTTAAAGTTCACGCTAAGGCTTTCTTAGAGTATCACCTTAATTCCTAAGCTCAACTGAGTTATGGGAATACAATTCGCTTTATGCCCGACTAATCAAGTATATATTCAGCCTGGCGTTAATCAGCTTTGTACACCTTGAATCAACCAATAATCTGCTTTTGTTCTTTCTGTTCAGCTTGACTTGTTAGTTGGGTAGCACAACAGCTGACCACTCTCTGTAGGGGAAACTTCCTCCGGAAAAGAAAGAACAGACAAGTCTCACATTCAGATCCCATTCCATTGCACAATGTTCACCAGACCGGTCTCCGGACGGTCGTCTGGTTGGAATGAAATGAAATCTTCGTCGACGGTCGGATTGGGACCATCTGCTGCCCGAAGCAATAGCAAATGACAATACCGAGATGGAGGAATAGGTCCATCCGTATACATACCTACCACCCGAAGAAGAAGAAAAAAAACTTACCTGTTAAGCAGAACTGTATCATTTTGGCGATTAAACATAGTTGAACGATAAAGTTGCACTTGGCGTTTCCATTAAAAAGTTTCTCCTTTCTCCGGCTGGGCTGCTGTCCGAGCTGGTGGTCGGCCACGGCTACCTTCAGAACTGCTGCAACGGCTATGGTTTTCCGTGTGTTTCGCCTCAGTGACTCGGAATGGACGTTTTCTGTAATGTAAGCGAAAAGATAAAGGGGAAAAAGTGCCACCATTATCACAAAGTTTGATTCAATCGGGCTGGAATTATCGAGATAAAGTTAACGCAGCTCGTCAAATATGGGAAGGAGAGCGGGCGAAAGGATTCAGCCGGGTTGTGGCGAGAGGAGGACTGGTTGCGGACGAGTTTGCATAATGTGTTCGAGGGACCCAAGTTTTAATGAAGATTCCGAGTTTGGGAAGTTGGTAATTTTGTATGATCAGTTTAATCGGGTTTCAAGATTCAACCATGTGCAAATTATCAGGAAGAAAATGTATATCAGTAGGAGCTCTTCACTCGGCTAAGCATGTGTTGTTGCAAAATCATTCCACTAATTAAGTTGATCACGGTGAAGGACAACGTGTCACAAATCTCTTGACCATCGCATTGCTACAAAATTAAACATCGTTTATGAGAATTACCGTCAACCGCAAATTACAGTAACTCTCTTCGGCTTCACTGATAATTACCATAATGGAATGAATCAGTGCCGTTTGATGTAGTTATGTCGCACATATATCGAACCAACCCAACCCGTTTTTCTGCCTTCGCCACTGAAAGACAATGTGTGTCCCTAAAACCTCCATTAGGATCCATTACGGATACCCAACACGCAGCACGGGTTCCCGTTGTTGCAAGCATCGTCACCGTCCAACCAACCGACCGACCCAACGACTCGCAGGGACTTCCGGTGCGAGTTTAATTTTGAATGATAGTTAATATCAATCATGACCATGTTTCGCCGCCTCAAATCCCATCGGTGCAGGCTCGCATTTCTACTGTCGTCCTTGGCCTGCCCCCGCAGGCAGGTAGTTGGCAATATCTAGCACGTATCGCGTCAGAAATCGAGGTTAATTATGATTGCACGTGTGCCATTGCAAACGATCTAAACGGAATGCGGGAGAAGGCAAGGTGGGGGTCCGATCGCTTGCCGCTTGCCCAGCAGTTCTTGTATTACGAAGTTCATTCGCGAAATGGTCATTAGTGCAAGCGTTGGCTGCTGCTGCTGCTGCTGCTGCTGACTTGTCACACATATACTCATTCTTGCAGGCACCAGCAGCCCAACCCAAGTCTCGGAGCGGGGAGCAAATTAACAGCAGCCAGTGGATTTTCAACGGCAGCAGGGACCAAATTTCATTATATATGAATTCATGTGCAAAGCTTACCTAGCGGCTCATCAGATCGATGCGTGGGACGCAATGAATCCGGACTTAACCTATAATGTGGCCGTCGCCGGGCGGAGTGGTTGGGTGTGGCAGTGCTTATATTATCACCCCAAGGACGATCCAGGTTGGTGACAGCTGCTAGTGATATTAATTATGACGAACGAGCGGCCTCCGGGGACCAAACGGGGCCTGGTCTGTTTGGTTTGAGTCACGAACATTGTCAGATTAACTCTGCTCTTCTACGGTAGTTGGTATTCCGAGCAAGCTCAATAAATGAATTTAGTGTTTTGGGCTTGGCTTCAGGGAAATGACTGCAGGTGTCAAGCTTGGCAGGAAGCATTGGCTTTATGAATAAATGTAGAGCAATTTATCAGATTCATAACGGTCATTTAGTATCGGTCGGTAGTTTTGGAGCGGGCACAAATATTTATTTGGAAATCCTTCACAACGCGAAAGCCACGCATTAGAATCATCCCAAGTAGCAAATTCCCATCGTGGAAACCAACAGCAACAGGGTTATGACTGAAATGAGGTACATATTCAAGTATATGCAACCGTTTTTGCAACAGCTCAGAAAATTTCTGGATGATGTTGCAAATACATAGTATTAACGAGTTCTGAATTGCAAAATATGCCGACAGCTACAGCTGATCATTGCTCTCGATTTCCACAAATTCAAGCGATTATTCCGTTAGACACATATAGCCTTGCCCATCGCATTCGGATGTCAGGATTTAGCAATTGACCAGAAGAACTTATCATCAGGGCCCAACAAAGGGCAGCCCTAAGTTTGCACCTTTAGAATTGATTAAACGATCCATAAAATATTGAAAAACGTTCCATTAAAAACATCCAAATGATCAATAAAACATCGGAGAAAATCCTTAAAAAAGTGTGGATGATCCATAAAAAATATCAATATTATCAATATTTTAAGTGAAATTTAGCAACACAATTCTAAAAATGTACCACTAAATTTCTAAATAATGAGCATCGGAATTGTACGAATTACCCATAAACATATTTCAATTGATCCATAAAACATTCAGCATTGAATCTTAAACTAAAGAAAGTGATCCATAAAAAATCAAGTTTGCACACTTAAAAATATAGGCATGATCCATAAATTAGACGTTTATTATTCATGTTTAGGACACTATTTTTTAAAATGTTGATCCATAAACCTTGAAAAATTGCTCCACTGCTTATCTACTTAGATTCACTGTCCTGCCCGTGTATTTAAGGTAGATGTGCGAAGCGACGGGCAAGCGTCTAGAATTAGCTTCCAAAAGAAGATTCTATAATAATATTCTTAAGAAGCTTCCTATGGAAACTTCATTTAGAAACTTTTTAAGAAGCTTATTCTAGAGGCTCGCCCATCGTTCTGCTCTTCTGACAAAAAAAAAACACGGACAGAACAGTAAACCTGAGTAGCTACGCAGTAATGTAGCTATTTTCCAAGGTTTATTGATCAAATTAAAAAAACATATGTATATAGACCGAGGGGGGTGACTCTAGCTACGATGCAGGAAAAATTGTGTTTTGTTTCGGCTAGCTGCGCGTACGCTGAGTAGATAGAAAGAAGATTGATGACGATTCTGAAGATTTTCTGTAAAAGATGAGGCGCGATGCAAGTAGATGCGAGAAATGAAAGTATATTTTTCGAAGATTGATTCGCTAGTTGTAGATCTGTTGAGCATCTAGAATTGAGATTTGGATGTGTCGCCCCCCTCGATATAGACTATAATTGGAACACATTTATTTTTCATTTTTTCTTAAGAAGATTATTATAGAAGCTTCTTTTGGAAGCTTATTCAAGACGCTTGACCATCACTCCGCACATCTACCTAAAAACACGATAGGACAGTAAATCTAAGTAGTTAAGCAGTAATGAAGCAATTTTTCATGGTTTATGGATCAAAATTAATAATACAGTGTCCAAAACGTGAATAATATACGTCTAATTTGTGGATCATGGCTGTTCGGAATATCGGGATAACCCTGTACCGCCAAACCCAGTGACAACCCTGTGGAAGATTCAGAGAGCTACGGTAACGGTCGCTGTCAGAAATGACAGACGTCAGGTATGGTTCAACGGAACTGTGAACTCACAGTTCCGTTGAACCAAACATTAAATAGGTCGGAGTATCAACGAGAAAAAAAGAGAAATACAATTCCAAACCATCTAAAAAAATGTTTTACAGCTAAATTATTTTAATTGCCTAAATTTGTTAATATACCTATTGTTTAATTAAATTGTAGTTATTTGTAGTGAACTAGCTACCAACAATCAATACAAAAATAACGATTTTAAATTGGCTCACTACTTGACTTGCCTATTGGTCCCAAGCAAATCGATTAACGTACCCCATTCTAGTCAAAATTCTAGTACTACACAATATTTGTTTTAATTCGCTATGAAAGATTGACAGGTAAAATGAGGGGTTCGTGGATTTTCTCGTGTTTTATAGGGGTGCATCGATAAGCTTGCGACCGAAAATAGTACCAGAGCTTAGCCAAAAAGTTGAGCACATTTCTTTGGGACCTTCTGGTCTTAAAGCTACCTCTATGTAGCTACTGAAGTAGGTTAGTTGGAGGTGGAGTTCGTGTAAATATTGAATTTGATAACTCTATATTTGCTTAATCTAGATACTACAATTTAGCATAGCATAGCATAGCATAGCATAGCATAAACCAGGTTGCACAATGTCGTAGGTGGTACGAGCTCTAAACTGTTGTTAAGCAGGAGGCGCATCCTCATCCGTTGCTGTTAGATAGTAATTTGTGATTAATTACTACCTCTTAGATAAAGGATGTGTTTCCCTCCAACAGACCAGAGCTGTCCTGGCCACGTCCTTGCATTTGGTGGGGATGGGGGAGGAATGTTAGTCCGACACTTACTTAAGAGAGATGCAGAGAACTCTACGACCCCTCATAAGTGTCACGGGAAGGGTGGAATTTTGTTAGTAGGGAGGGTAAGCCATAGGCTACGCCCAGCCGGCGTTGCTGGCAATCGTTATGTCAAGTATTTAAGAAATAAAACCTGTAAATCATTTATCCGTTGACCGTTGTTGCTGCCCATTACCTAAACATATTATTCAAAACAGTCTTCATATTCCGGAATTGCGATACGTTAATGCTCGATCCTGTTGCTCCTTTGGCCCAAGAGTTCGGTTGTTCCTAAACATATGCACAATCCATTCTGATCGATAAGATGTTCTCATGTGTAAAATGTTGTTTATAATGTGTGAAATCATAGTTTGGAATGAATATTCGTGCATGGTTTTTTCAGTGTTGTGAGAATGAGTATGCTGAGACTGTGAATATGTTTAACGGGTTTCTTTTTATTTTTTGAATGGTGAGGGGAAAAGCCCGCGGGAGTGAAAAAAATCATGTTATTTCTTCTCCCGTAGGCACAAAACCTTCACGTCTTTTCAGATTGTCAATAATAAAACATTCAAAAATTTTAAAATACAATAACAATAAATCAGATAGTGAGCTCAATAAAAAATAAATTCAACTAGAAAAATTTGGAAAAAAAAACATCAAATTTAGGCAAGATACGATTGATAATCCACTTTCATGCAACAGGTGCTGCATTGCCTCTTGTCCATCCTGACTTCCTGCGTTCTGAAAGACAAAAAATACATATTCTTAGTGTCAGCTGAGATTATCAACAGCTTAAGAATCATTAGCCTTTGTAGAAATAAGTTTCTCCATCGTTGAAATGCCATTGTTATCAGGATTAGCTGTAATAGAATGATTAAGAGAATTTCACAAGGATATCCGGATACAAGGATATATCTA